TCACAATGTATTAAACAGATTCTTGAATCGAGATCCAAAACAAGATTCAGATTCTCACAGATAGTAGAAAGACAAAGATGACTTCACAATGTATTTTTGAAACCTTTTTCTTGAATCGGCGCAGCCTCTCTTTCTGTCTGACACGACTCTCACCTAGAAGATGAAGTATCCATCAGTTATTTTCGACTTCGAAGGTGGGGACAATTTGAAGATGTTCGTTCGTTCAATTTTATGCCATCGGACCTGGTTCTTCTTTCTTTTTTATCCACATGACTGAGCAGGATAAGATGGGATGCCTGCAGTTCACCGCCACACAAGGCGACTGCTCCGCTTTGGCGTATAGCCCCAAGGAGGACTTATGGTGTGCTTCGAAAGTTGCTTGATTGAATGATGTACCCACTCACGGGGTGTAGCTGCTTTTACTTTAATTACTAAAAGAAACAGCATATAATTTTCGGAGGGAGCAGTAGTCGTTTACACATCAAAGGCGCTTACTCTATATTTTAGATTGATTCGCTTTCGCTAGCTCCCCTATTGTTCAAAGAAATGCTTCCTCCAGTGCAACTCAATAGGTCGCTATTCAGAGGAGTCACGTGTTCTTTTTTACCACCAGTGCAACTGATGACGATGATGATATACCCAGTCTTGTTTACTGACGGGCGTGCATTTTTAATTATCTTTGTCCCCCTCGACATCTCTCCTCATGCTTTCTCCATAATATAAAAAGAAAAAACGAACAGCAAAAAAACCCACGCTCTTCGCTCTTGTCGAATATATAATTTGCGCCATGACCAGTAGAAAAAAACTCAGTTCATAGGTCAGCCCACCATATGTCGAAATGCTATACACACAGATGCACGAAGCATACAATTCTGCGCATTTTAATCAAATTTCGCACTCCCGAGAAAAAGCGCAGGTCCCCTGTGCACAACACTCCTCTAATCTCTAGGTCTAGTTTCCATACAAATTTGAGATATATGCTCCTTGACATCCTGATCTCTATTTTTTTAGCTGCATAAATAGTCTGACTCACCACGAAGAAGAAATACATCACACTTCGTTAGTGATATCACTTTTCTTACTCATTCTGAAGAGCAAGTAGTCCGGCTCCTATTTTGTATATCCCAAAGCAGCAAAGCAGCGAGAAAACCACGAGCACCTGCTACTGGGTCTTGAATATTCTCCAGACGGCTCCTCGACATGTCCGTCTTCGTGGCCAGCGTCAGCTCAACCCTCAGCTCTGGCGAGGACGCGGTGCGTAATTCCTCCAAGAAGGATTCTTGTTCTTCTCTCAGGTCTTGGACGCGATGACTCGAGTACTTTGAATGGCCAACTCGGAGCGATCTTTCCGCCCCTCTTAAAACCAGTGCTGTAATAATCTTTTCCACCACCTTCTTACCATGGTATAAATCATGTCGACAAGTCGCTCAATCATCGCTTCAACCGAAGTCCAATTCTTGGCACCTTGGATACTTTCCAGTCCCACGTCACGTTGTCCTTCGCTGATTGGGATCTCTTCACGAAGTACAAGGTATTGTTGGGTTCGAGTTGCGTCTGCTCCATGAGTTACTTTTGGTTCGAGAGGCAACACTCGCATGCAACGCTGTGAGAGTTTTGAGTAAACCCTTACTCATATCCTCCTTAGTCTTGATACGATCCTCCCGAAAATTCCGAAAACCGGCTTTCGCAAAACAGTTTCAGGCAGTTGCTGGAAATTAGCGGGGACGACAGCAGTGGGGCGTAATCTCTCGCGTGGTCGTAATAAGTGCCCTCTCCGGCAACTCCGGTCCGGCGTTGGGCCTCTCGGCAAGAAAACTCGAAAACATCCGTGGATGAGTGGCCTGCTCTCAGCCAGAACCACCAGCTTCAGACGCAGCTGCTAGAGCTACACTAGTTGTAGCAGCTGCGACCACGACAAGAGAAGCACGAGTAGAGAAGATCTTCACTTTTTCCTTCTTGTTTCTTAGCAGAGAGAGGTTAGGTTGGGTGTGGGCCCACCAGGAAAACTAGCGGACATAACTGGCTGCTGAA